GGGCAAGAAGATGGAATATTGGCATAAATGGTCAAAAGTCAGCTAACGTGTGCTTCTCACTAAGGAGGAAAACACCACCTGCTGTTCAACTAGGTGAGGAGATGGTACAGCAGTGTAGTACGGCCAAATATCTTGGCATAACATTAGATCGCCGGCTCACATTTGCCCCCCACATAGCAGCCATCAAAACAAGGGTGAGAGCAGCTGTGACAAAGCACTGGTGGCTCCTAAGAAGCAACAGTAAACTCTCCACCCGAAATAAGCTCACCCTATACAAGCAGGTCATTGCTCCCATCTGGCAATATGGTTGCCAAATCTGGGGGATAGCAAGAGATAGCCAAATCAAAAAAATTCAGGTGGCCCAGAACAAAATAGCGAGACAAATTACAGGCTGTGAGTGGTACATTCGAAATAGCGTGCTACATAGGGACCTAAAACTAGTTACGGTACTACAACAAATCAACTTCCACTCCAGTCGGTACAACTCAAGACTGATGAACCACAGGAATCGTCTCGCTAATGATCTCACCATTACTCGACCGAGGCAGAGGATCAAAAGACGTCAACCAAGAGACTTAGTGCTAAGATAACAATAGCTTAATAGCTAAATATTAATTATAAAACAACATGAGAGTATTAGACCAAACTAGAAAAAGCTATATTAAATATTCCCTATAGCCGGAGCGCCAATTGGCAGAAACAATAGAAAATAAGGTAATAAAAGGGTTCATAGCTATCCTGTATATCTTAATAAACTACAATAAAAAAAAAAAAAAAAAAAAAAAATTTTCATTTTATCGATTCTGCCTCCCAGTATGCAACGCAGCTCGCGCTGCAATGGGGCTCAAATAAAATGTCGGCCTAAAAGTATCCGTTGCGCTGCAGCCAAAGGTAGCTAAATAAACAATAAATGCCTGAGATGGGCCCTGGCCATAGATGCTAATGGCAACGGACGAGGGCGCCATTTTAGGCGCTTATTGCGCGCACTCCACGTTTGTGGTTTCATTTGTGAGTTTTAATTAAATACGTTTAAATATTTGCTATGCCGGACAGGCAGACAATCCGAAACGAACCGAAAGACCAGAGACAGCAACAGCAACAGCAACAGCGCAACAAACAACAAACAAGGAGCAGCAGAGGGACGCGGGGCAGAGCATTTCCCTCGGCATCAGTGCACCTGGTAAATATTAGCGAAAAATTAGCAAAGTATTTTAAGCGCAACATGTTCGTCCTGCGGCTTTCAGCACCAACATCCCCAGCATCCTCGGGAACGGCCCCATGGGTTCCGGTGCAGGGAGCCGGGGGAGTGGACTGCACATCATGGGCAAACTTTTCGGTGCGTGAGCATTTTATTTATTTATAAATAATGCATAATTCATTTAAAATGCGTGCGTAAAATTGTAGCTAAGTGCTTAATCCTGTAATGTGTTGCAGGAAGCGAGTCGGGCCGCTGGAGTCGACCGGATATTGAGTTGCATGCATTTTTCATGAACCTATCGCCCAATAGAGCGATTTAGGATAGCAGCTCAGAAGGCTCGCAATTATTCATTTGTTTTTAATTAGAGAGGCCCTTCAGATTGCCATTTATGGCAGAATGGCCGGGCATCACCGTGCTGGCAACCAAAATGCCAAAATGGGCCCATTGCTTGTTTGTTCTATCGGGCACTTTGCAGACCAATTAACTCAAATTTTCAATTTGCAAAACAGAATAAAAACCGAAATTGCTAATGATTCCGGTTACTCCGTTTGCTGCCCAGCCGCCAGGAGGCCCACACCCCGGCCCAATGCAATTTGAATCCGCAATTTTGTCAAAGTCAAATAGTTCAAAATGTACATGCGGTCAACAAAATCAAATTAACTTTTAGCGCGAATAAATTTTGCACAGCCGCAGCGCGGGCGCACTTTTTACATTTAAATTTCGCATTCATTGGCCGATGGCTGGCAGCTGGGGCTTGTGCACATAATAGGCGATCGACATCAATTAAGAAAATAATCCGCGCATTATGCGAATGTGAAAGCGAAGGCGACTAGTACATAAATATTGTGTGACACCGGGCGGCGCATCAGGGCAAAAACGGCCGTCGAGTGGTCGAAAGGGGCGGAAATGGGTGGCCATCTGGGGATTTGTGAATTAAGCGGACATATTCAGCATATGCTAAGCGAGCGAAAAAAGCTCGTAATGACGACACTGCGGATGTGGGTGGCGACCACGATGACAGGTGCTGCACGCAAGGACATGGCAGGACATTTATGGACTCGAGTGCCGAAACTCGCGTGCTCGGCCACTGGCAATAGTAGGGATAATGATAATCCGAGCGGACTGGCTGCAAGGCGTACATATATTTTCAATTAACATTTTCCAGATGCTCACACTAATTGCTTTTTACGCGTGTCATCGCAATAGAGCCCAGCTACTAAATAAACACACCGTGTTCCCTGGCTGATGACAAAATAAACGAAAATTCGCGCTGCTAAAACGCGAATTCCCTCGCACACGTGAGCTGCGATTAAAGCGCATTGCAGTCCCTCCCAAATCGTCGACGCAGCGAGCCGTTTAACCAAATTCATAATACGCACCGTTGCACGGCTCGCACCTCTTGATTATTTCAGATACGCGGACAGCCCTCATGGTTGCGCAAATCAAATCATCGGAATGAGGCGCTGGTGGGTGGACCTCGGCTTTTTTGATGGCCGTGATGAAAAGATCAAAAGCCCATTAAATGGCCTTTGGACAATGACAAAAGTATCAGCGACATGTGGGGCGCATAAAAAGCGCGCATAAAATTTCGATTGCAAATATCCAGCCCCAAAGGCGAGGTGAGCGGTTCGCTTGCAGCGCAAACAAAATAATGGAGCCATTAAAGGGGTTATATAAATGGGTTGTAAAGCAGCATGGCATAAATGTCGAGATAGATTTGGAAATCAAATTTCCATCTTCGGCCCTGGATCAGAACGCCCCTCAGCTCGCACAATGTTGCCTTCGACTGGCCCAAATCCACTCAGCTGGCCAAATTAGTCCGCTGCAGGGGACACAGCGCGAAAACTCAATTTGCTCCGGAAATGGATCGTTCTGCAGCTCGGCCTCATCCCCCTCGTCAGCTGCCATCAATTTGACTAACTGTGTTCCCGCCAATTAACAAATTAATTGCCTACTTTGCTGGCTGCACTTGAAGGAGGCGCCCAAACAGACTCCCACACGAACCTGCGGCCAATTCCCAATGGCATCTTAGTTTTACGAGCAACACAGCCACAAAGTATAAACGCTAATGAAATTTTCAGCCCAGGCGGCTCTTTGTTGGTTTAGTCATGCGGGGTGGTGGGCGGTGGGTGGCGTTGGGTGGCGATGTGTGATAAGTGGGCGTGGCTAGGCGGAGAACCAGGGGTTGCGCAACTCGTGGCCGGTAGGGGGCGTGCCTGCAAAGCTTTTAATATAATGACACATGATCATGGCAATGTCGGCGATGTCAAAGGCAAGGCGAGTACACACTTGAGCCCTTTAAGCGCTTTAAGCCCTTCACTTCAGTGGATTGCCGCTTGCAACGGTGAGCAGGTGATGCGATGGGCGGGAATCGCCGCCTCTGTTCAACTTCGATTAGGGCGTTGCAAGATGTTTTATGGCATGTAATACACACGAGGCCCGAGGCTACACAAGCTTCTCTATGAGGTGGGGAAACGGATTTCCGCGACGCCTACGCAGCGCAGGCTGTTTCCCGTCCACTAAAGTGCTATTAGGACTTAGAAACATATTCAAACTGAAATTAAAGTTCCCATACTGCTTTCTCAAGCATTCATCTTCTGCTTGCTACAGCACTCGCTGCACTTCTATAAGATAAGATATAAGATATGACTATTGGTCACGGAACTCGACTATATCATTCTCTATTCTGTCGATTAGTGTCCACCTAACAGCTATTTAGTTTGCAATTCCCCTTACTAGTGACTAGTAATTACCCCTTACAGTTTTAGGAACTCTTATTTAATTGATTACTAGTGAACACAGCGATTTGGTTATTGGAATAATTTCACTTATACACCTAATGTGTGAGTGTGAGATTTTTAGTGATATACTGTGGCACTGCAAAAAAGGCTAGTTTCCCTATTTTGTCAACATGAAAGAAATTTTGAATGAAAACCTTTTTTCGTTTGCTACACAATTCAACATTCAACATCCAAGTGTGTTTTATTTAATAAAAACGGATTTATGGGCCAACTAACGGATTTATGGGCACCTCTAGCTATTTTGGATCCCGTGGGATCCGATTTGTATTTGCAGGTACCAGTGCATATAACCCTTTAAAATGTTGATAGATATATGTATACAAAAATCCAATTAAACTGGTTCAGTGTCAAGCGAGTCGAGGACACCGCCACGGTCTCGATTCCCATTAAAAATGCAGTTGCAGCAACGCTTGTTGCACCAATGACAGTATCAATAGGGCCAATAAAGCAGCGGCATCCATTTAATTTCATTTTAATGCAAAACACAACCCTCAGAGGTGTCCTGCGTCCCGCCGGCCGACTGACCCATGACCCCACTACTTTAGCAGTGGTTTCATTAAGCAATCAAACAATTGGCATGCGGAGGACGACTGCACAATGCATAATTTTTGGCAGAATTGCATATTATTGTTACTGCCGATTGTCGCTGTCATCATTTATATTTGCCTGTTGTCTGTGTTTGTCGAGTGCCATTCGGAATCACATGGCTTATCGCTTTGTGCCAGAGAGATGCAACCATCCATTCCGCAGGTGCCCCAGGCAGGAAGCCACATACATGGGTTACGTATGGGGTGATCTATGGATCTATGGGGTGAGCAGTTTACGCCCATTAAAGCATTACGCCTATTAAAGCTATATTAGGCAACACGATTGTTTGTCCGAGCAAGCCGTAGATGACTTGTACTTGAGGAGACGGGAATCGGGAAACGAATCTGCAAATAGTGTCCAAGGTCAGCTTTCAAGAGCTTTGCCGAAATTCTATTTTCAACTGGCGCAGAACTTGTGGAGTGGCAGGCCGATGGCGGCTTGGGATCTCATGCAGGAGAACGCTGAAAGATCCATACATAGACCCGCTCTTGGTTAGCGCAAGGCTCTTCCACATTAGCTCCATCGAGCACTTACGAGTCATCGCCGACGCACGAATGGACACTTCACTTCGTAAACCAGATCCAAAAATAATTGCGCTCAAGTGCGTGGTCGATGCGGATCGACAAATCCGGCAACCAAAGACCAGAGTCGCTGTCATCGGCTAAGTGGTTAATAGAGTTTGTTGTTGCTTTTGACGAGCTCTCGACTCGGCGGCTATGATTTCATCTCGGCTGAGTTAAACCTGCCACAGAGATTGGTAGTGGAAACTGTATTCCAGCAGGCCTGCCACGGTCCGGCTATAAAGACGCGGCCGAATTGGAGCAAGACATCATTGGGTTCAGTACTAGCGACACAGAAACATCTTCAGTCAGTTCGAATAGTTCTTTAATCAACTACAGAACTAAAGCTTCAGAATGGTGAGCTGGACTTCGCCCGTCCTCAAATATATTAATATATTCATATTATGTATATATTTTATATTTACAGAAACTCTTCACCGCCGTCCTTACCATCTGCCTAGTGGCCTTTGCGGCCGCCCAGTCCGCAGATCCCGCTGCCGCACTGGAGCCTTCCTCCGAGTACCTGCCCCCCGTCGGCGAGGCGGAGGCCGCCCAGCTGTCGGAGAACGGATATAAGTACAGGACCGTGCGCCGGCTTAAGCTGCGCCACCGCCGCGAGGTACCTAACCAGGAATACCTTCCTCCGGTGGAGAACGCACCTAGCCAGGAGTACCTGCCGCCCCTAGATGCCGCCGCCATTGGGGACACCAAGGTCGCCGACGACGGCTATCGCTACAAGACCGTGCGCAAGCTTAAGTTCCGTGCCCGTCACCGCCGCGACGTCTCCGAAATCGCTGAGCCCAGCAGCGAGTACCTCCCACCCGTGCAGGTCGAGCTCGCCCCCGAGCTGAAAACCGTTCTGGGTGATGATGGCTACAAGTACAAGACAGTGCGCCGGCTCAAGTTCCGTCGCCACCGCCGCGAGGCTGCCGCCGACGAGGCTGCCGCCGAGTCCGCCCCCAACGGAGAGTACCTGCCCCCCGCCGAGGCCGCCCCCGCCGCCCCCGCTGCTGAGGCCGAGCCAAAGGCCGCTGAGGAGGGCACTGAGCTGGCCAAGGACGGCTACCGCTACAAGACTGTGCGCCGTCTGCGATACCGCTACCGCCACTAGGCCTGCAATTCGAACCTAGACACATTGAGCCAAATTGATCCTGAGAGTACATGCAAGAAGTAGAGTCGAGCGGGCCTCGTCCATTCGACTGACTTCTCTTTTTTTGACTTTTTGCCCTTCCCAATACTTATTCATTCAGTTGTCCCAGCATATGGAATAATAAAATTTATTCACAAAAAACCAGCGCAGTTCTCCAACATATTTCCTTACGAGCCGCCAGCGTAGAGCTCTGAGATCCCACATGGGCTCCAAATTACCGTACTCTCCAAGCTGCATATTAAATAATAGCATTCGTATGGGAAAAAAGCGCCGACTAGGAGCTAAAATTGAATGGAAACCAATGGCCAAGTAATGGGCAAAACGCAAGCGGAAAAACGATTGGCCTTCGCCAAGAGGGCAAAATTCTATTTTTCAAATTAAGTGTGCCTTTTTGGAGGCACAAGGAGCGGCCGGAACGGAGGCACTTTGAGTTCAACGACTTCTCGACTCTTGCTCGACTGGGCTGGCATCTTTTTACGGTCAACTTTTCGTAATATTATTTTGCATTTATTTGCACAAAGTTGATTTTTCTCTGATTTCTCTGGTTTCTCTGTTTTCTTTGGTTGGCTTTGCGGACTGCCAAATTACAATATTGTAGCGGTCCTAGCCGTTGCTCCTGGTACTAGGTGCTTGGCTCTTGGTCCTTGTCTGGTGGCCCAGAGCCAGGGAAGGACCGAAAGCAGCTGCAAAAGAGTAAATAAAACATTTTTTGTGCTCCAAACACAAAGTTTCGTAATTGAGCGCTTGACTTTTGCTAGCTGGCCGTGTCCAAAAAGGTCATCAACGAGCTCAGGTTCAGTAAGAGATCGAAATGAGCTTCCCAGGGGATTGTTGGGGAGAACTATCAGACATGGTATATTAAAAACCTTTTTTCGGCTAGTATTCACTTTTTAATTTATAAAATGAAGTTGAGCCCTAGCTCACACATGCCAGAAAAAAATTATTCAAGTCAAGTACCCAATTTAACCCCAATTAAAGATATGAGAAAACTTTTATGTTTTATGATACCGACACATTGATTTTTTAACTGGTTTTGAACCACCTTCAAGCCATCGGAGGTTTTCGCAACCCACCGATTTTCATATCCGGTACTGCTAGATTAAAGGGGTATCTATGTTTGTGGTGAAGTAGGAGACTGGTAAAAGGTGCCTGCTTATAGAAATCGTCAATGGTTAAATTTATATATTTTTGTATAATATTTATAATATTTTAATTATAATATTATATATTTGCTCTAAACTGTAGCTTACCTTAAAAATACCAAAAGTCCGATACAATTTAAAAAAATAATTGTGCCACAATTCGAAATCTATGATATTAGGAACAAGCTTTAACATACATTTTTAATAATAATGTAAGTTCAGCGGTTCAAAACCTTATTACTCATCCAGCGATCAAATGTATTGCAAAGGAAACACGAAACAGAGCTTAGCTATTCAGAGATTATATATTTCTGAGAACTCTTTCTGATGAAAAAAAAGAACACTATGTTGTCCATTATTTTCCATTTATTTTGCATAAATTTTTTCCTATTTTTTTTAATATTCCTTTAACAGCTGTACAATAAAGTGGACCGTGGACACGGGACACGGGACACGGGACCTTACATACTGCATGCAATGGAAAAAAGACTTTTATGGCACATTTAAGCAGATAGCTTTAAAACTGGGAGACTAGTTTGTTTCGAAACGGCAGTTGATAGCGTTCAAGAATATATGAATACGGATATACCCTTCACTGCTTTGCAAAATGAAGAACGCCAATCAAACATGATGTTTTGGATGTATTGCATTTGGCATCGAAAAGCAGTTTGATACCAGGATTTTAAGAAAGGTGAAGAAATAATCAAAGTTGGAAAATATTTAAATTGGGAAATTTACACTAATAAGCAGTGATTTACTGTAGCCGACGACCAAAATGGCGATCGAAAGCTTATCGATAAGTTATCGGATTCCAGCTGATTTCATGCTTTTCAAGAACTCCAGAAAAGTGCAGTCATATTTTCGGTAATATTCCAAGGAAAGACGATGAGAATCAGCGATGAAAATGGGGCCAACATTATGGAGAACTTCGAAAACACATGGCAGAGAATCACCACCAGCACTTCTTCGAGCAGCAGAGACGCGGACTACGAGACTGCCGACACGTATTGCGCCCAGGATGCCCTCCGGCCTCTGGTGGCCACCAACTGTTCCGAGTATGCGGTGGCCTATGCAAACTGCGAGTTACGTCCGGCTCGTCGATTTGCGGAGGTTTTTCTGCTGCCGCACATCCTGGAAACGATGAGGAATTTGGGCCTGAACCGGTTGCTCCGACTGCAGAGCTACACATGGCCACACTTGGCCGGAGGATCCGAGCACGGGGCGATGATTGTAGGGGCTCCAGGCAGCGGTCGCACCTTTGCTTATGTACCATCTGTTTGCCATGCCGTTTCCAGGACTTTAATGGAATGTACATACCAGCGCAAGGACGTGGAGCACAATTTCTGTCAACTGGATCAGTATGGCCCCATAGCCTTGATACTCGTGCCTGATTTGCGACGCGTTCACCAGGTGAGTGCCATGTGTCAAGCCCTGCTGCACAAGGCGCAGAAGAAAGACTGCCTTACACTGACCCTCAATGTTTCCTCCACGAAAAGTTCCCAGTTCTTCCTGAAGCTTTTGAACGGAGTTGGTTGCCTGGTTGCCACTCCTGCTCAGCTGGTATGGTTTTGGCAAGAGGCCCCTGGCCTAATGCGCTTTCCCTGCCTGCAGTTCCTAGTGTACGACGACGTGGACCTGATGTCCAAGGAGCAGCTACTGGGCGCCCAGCAGGTGCTGCATAAGATCCTCCCTCTGACACACTCTCCCCAAGTGGTAATGGTTTCAAAGTCATATTGTCCCAAACTGATGTCCGAACTAAGAGCGGTCAACGATAAACCGGCTCTTGTATTCGGAGATCTACTGGAGGCGGCTCTTTACGGCGGAACACGTATACGAATTTCCATAGTTCGCTCAGAAGATAAAGTTAATGCAGTGGTCCAAATGCTGCAGCAGTGTTCTCCCGAGGAGTACCGTACGATTATTTTCTGCATCGACGACAGTGACATGCAGTGTCTTGTGGCAGCTCTGGAAGATAGGAACTACCGATGTCTGCCTTACTACCAGACTGCGGACTTGGGGGTTTTGAAGCAGGTCCATAGCTGGCAGGCACGAAGTCATGGTGTCATACTGCTGTGCACGGACAACTGCCCGGAGCTGGACATCCGAGATGCGCACACCCTAATCCATCACAGTATGAGTCAGTCGTGGAGCACGTTTAAATTAAGACACCTCAAAATATCCAACAATCTGCGTAATATCGTGGAATCTACAGCACCCATTGTGAAGATGCCAATTAATTCTCTGGTGCTCCTTGACGATAACAATCACCGTCAATTGCCGCGTCTCGTAGACTTTCTTCAGCTGCACAAAAAAGTGGACTGCCGCTTAGTGGAGTTGGCCAAACGGATTCGGCAGGAGTTGGACAAAGGCAGGAGCGACCATCATGCGTTGTGCGACCAAATCCTTCTGCTGGGAAAGTGCTACAATCCTGCATGCGAGAGTCGTCATAACCGATCCCACTTCGACAGGAGGCCTGATTACTTGCCCGCGTCCGGAGATGTCAAGGTTCAGCTGGTCAAGGTTTACTCGCCGACACATTTTTGTGTTCGCTTACTTGAACACCTACCGCTCAACGGCACCTGGCAGATGATGCAATACTCGGCTGTGCAGGAGTTTCGCCTGCAGCTGATGCAGAGCAAGGAGCCCCGTCGATACTGGCCACCTGTTGCCGGAGCAATTTGTATGTACCACACCACATTGACAAAAGAGCGGGTTCGCGTCCTGAAGGTGGCGACTATCAAAAACCCTAATATAGTTCAATCCGATTTGATGGTTGAGCTTCAGGCCCTAGATGTTGACACGCGAATCTTCTCTACCAATTGTGGAAAACTGTTTGAGTGTCCGGAGGAGCTGCAGCACAAGGTGCCGTTGGCCTGCGATCTGCGGCTTCATGGCTGGGTGCCTTATTCCGGGGAGCACAGCTGGACTGAAGAAGACTGTCGCACTGTGAATTACATTCTTAACCAACTTGCAAAGGATCACTTCCTCCAGACCAAAATACATTTCGTCGCCGCAGGAACTTTGTTTGTCCAGGATCTGGTGGTCATGGTGTATGCGGATAAATTTAAGGCGCATGTGCGGCATCTAAGCGTAGCACGGTGTCTTGTTGAAAACACCTTGGCCAAAAGATGTGAGCATGCTGCCGAATTGATCAGGAAATTTTTTGTGGAAGTGTTAATAGAAGAAGATATAGATAAGAACGTTCAGGACTCCAAGGCAAAAGCGAATAGCAAACCAAATAATAAAGTTAAAGATGCGATGACTGTTCAACCGGTCCAGATGCAAAGTCAGCCCGCTTTAAGCGGAAGGTGTCTGCGACTGGCCAATATTGCTCACGAGTCGGGCAAGGAGAACGAGCTGCATCAGGACGTGCAAGAAAGACGATATAGAACCTCGGACGCACCTCACCAAACCATCGAATCTGCCCGGCCACAATCCAATGAAGACGGATTTGCCCAGCTGTACGAGTGTATCATGAAATGCGCCTCTCTGCAGCTAGAAGATAAGAGCGAATGGTCGAAGAATTCAGACCATATAGACAGAGATCCATATGAATTCCTTAAGAGCGCTTCTACAGATAATCGCAAGCCGAAGACAGCCATGGATGCTACACCATCGACTTTGCTATCGCCCGACCATGCCCAGGAGAAGACTCCATTACTCCTACCCCTTACTAATGTAGCGCGTCCGTCCGTGACCTACTATCAGACCATGACTACCTTAGAGTTACAGGTGTTTCTGCCAGAAGATGACCAAGTCTACCAGGCGTTACTGCTTGAAGCACAGTTGTTCTTCAGGGCCATCTCCAAGTCCGCGGATCTAATACTGCAGTTTATTATGACGCTCAGATTTCCATACAGCACAATGAGTCACCACATCCGCGGACGCACCGTGTACATAAGTGTCATAAAGGTGCTGGCCATTATCGATCCTTTGGCATTTGGCGAGTATCGATTTCTCAAGCCCAATCACGATATGTTCGATAAGGTGGATCACCACCATTTGGAGACAAAAACCCGATTGGTTCGTTTCCTGGAGGATATGGATTATGCAAAGCAACATTTTGAGGCGCAGGAAAAGGGTGATTCTAGTGAGGATGAAGAAGGGAATATGGAAGGGATTGAGCGTCCAGACTGCCATAAAATATGGGACACATAATCAGAAACTAACAGAAAAGCGATTTGGGCATTTAGAACCATTGTATTTGTATTTGGCCAGGTTGATACTGAACCAAATAACAATAAATCACAATCACAAAATGTTATATCTCTTAAAATCGTTTTATTTTTAAGTCAGGCAAGCTTGTGGTAAAAAAGAAAAGTAAAAAGCATGAAAATTATAAAAACCTTAATATATGTTAAATTAAAAATCGTGTGCTGTTGAGTTGTTGCCTTTTGTTCACGCAGTTCAGCTGCATATTTACCTCAAAAAAAATTGGGAGATTTTTTTATAAATATACATTTGACTTATACGCAAGGGTATAAAGGCTTGTCTACGTTTTTTCCTCTGTTGACGCACTCCACAAAGTGACGAAGTGCTCTAGAACATATACATATGTATATAGTATATACACTAAGAAAGGAACATCTCCTCTGGTTGTCAGATCTTTACGAGTGATATATGTATACATACATCCAAGTTCAAAGAATTAAGGGATTAAATACCAAAATCTTTAAAAAATATTATATGGTTAAGGAAAAGGAAAGGTAAAAACGTGAAAGTAAACAATTTAACAAATTGGGGCCACTGAAAAGTTCTGGTTCAAAATACTCATTCATTGATACATCATTTGTTACAATCAGATGCTTTAAAAGATATCCTTAAAACATAGTTTTGGTGAACTTTTAAAAATGATAATTTTTGAAGGTTTGGTGGTATGTTTGTTGGTCTGCAACATAACGTAGTTTCTACATTTCAATAGAAATTGGATTGCTTTAAACACACTGCATTTTAAAAGCCAAGCGCAAAATCATTTTTCTTCGCAAATTAGATCTCGACATGAAAAAGGTAGAATATGCTGGGCATTCATATTTTAGTGATGCCTAATTCCATCGATTATGGTAAAAATATTATGGCCACGCCCATTGTCTTTAAGCCGTCTAAAATATACATTTTTTAAATATTCCTTTTTTTATATTTTGTGAAGCGCGCAAATGTAAAAAAATGTTTGGTCATAAAGGTATATATCAGTATTTTTTAAAATATTTTTCCTTGTGTGGGAGTTAAAGTCATCTGATTTCCAATTGATACTGACAAGCTGCTGCGACCAATACCTCCTGGATAAGAATTTTCATTTGATGTTTGTTCACTATTTTAGTGAACGCCCGCCCCGGAAATTTATTTCATTTCCCAAGCTCTTTTGGCAGGTCCAATTAGCAGCGATTGGCCAAAAAGCAGCAGCTGCAGGAGCACACAGGCGCAGACAAAGTCAAACACACAAAAACCCAGATGTTGAAACTTTCTGCCCAAACGGAAACTTATGAAATATTTAAAATTATGGCTGTACCTGACCTGTGAAAAACCGCCTAGCAGCTTGACCCAGGTCCGGGCTTTTCTTAAAATTTAGCATATAGCATTTGCCATTTGCGTCTTTGCGTTTGCGGCAAAGCAATTCAAAGCCGAGACAGACAAATTGAGGTGAAGTACTTAAGGCAAAAGCGGCTTGAATCCGTCCGCCTCGTAAGCCGATGCCGGGCCACCGGGTGCTTAGAGAACACCTGGAGGTCGCATTCCGGTACCAGTGGCTCACAATTTGTTGGTTATCTGCTTTGTCTGAGATTTTCTCGCCGACTTTCCCATTTTCTACTTCCATCGCTATCAATTTGCCCTTAGGTTCCATTAAAAATCCATTTACAAAAAATATCTTCATCGACTTACTCCGGCTAATCTACACTGGACTGGTGAGGCATACGATTGACGCTTAGCCAAATAAATCGGGTAACACAGGAGCCCGTTTGCAATAATAAGCTCTTTATGCTTGTTTCTATACTCCTTACTCGTGGAGTATACTAGATTCGTTGAAAAGAATGTAACAGATAGACGGAAGCGTGTTCGACTCGATAAAGTATATATTATATATTCTTGATAAAGATGTCCGCCCGTCCGTTCGAACGTCGAGATCTCGGGAACTGTGAAAGTTAGAAGGCTGTATGATTAGGAATGCAAATTTTCGTGACACCTATGTATGTATGTTGGCAATAGCATGTCGTATATAGCATATCGTTAGCCACGCCCTCTCTAACTTCCGAAAGGCGTCTACTACTAATGACCTTTGCATCACAGAGAGGACTTCCCTACTTTACAGGTAGCATTTTAACTCTTGGGAAATTAAATAAGTTAGTAAATATATAGATAGTGAAGAAAAATGATTTTCAATTTCTGGGCTATAAGTTCGTTTTAAAATTGACATAAGACATAGGACTTATCATAACCAACTTATCAACACTTATAGTTTGGGGGTAGTTAAAGCATTTGTATACCTGTTACTCGTATAGTAAAAGGGTATAATAGATTCGTTGAAAAGTATGTAAAGGGCAGAAGGAAACGTTTCCGACCCTATAAAATATATATATTCTTGGCCAGGGTCAATAGCGGAGTCTATCTGGCTATGTCCGTCTGTCCGTATGTCCGTATGAACGCCTCGATCTCAGGAACTACAAAAGCTATAATGTTGAGATTAAGCATGCAGCTTCCAGAGACATAGCGCAGCGCAAATGTTGCCCAAACTTTTGAAATATATTGTGATATTTTTTCATTTCATATCTTTTAAAATTTTATAGACAACAAACTTTTTGCCAAGCCCACTTACCGTCCAAAACTGTCGCGCCCACTTTTACACAATTTTTTGATATTTTTTTATTTTTTTTAATAGTCTTGTAAATGTTTAATTTGCCAAAAATGTCGCGTCCACTTTTAAAATTTTTTTGATATTTTTCATTTTTTTATTAATCTTGTAAATGTTCAATTTGCCAAAAATCGTTTTGCCATGCCCACTTACCGCCCACGAACCGCTTAAAATTGTAACGTCCACACTTTTGAAAAATTTTTACAGTTTTTGTATTATTTTCCCCCCAATTTCTACCAATATTTCGGAAAATGTTGAAATTTCTCGTTCGCACTTCCACTAGCTGAGTAACGGGTATCTGATAGTCGGGGAATTCGACTATATCACTCCATCATGATTTTATTTAATTTTGTATACAATGACAAACTAAACTGAAATGGCAAATAGATCAATATCAGTAGATAAGTAGAACAACATGAATGCTTTTCACCGCGAAAAACGATAGCGAATGTTTCCCTGGTTGAACTCGCCCTACCCAGCTGATCTTATCGCTTAGCTCAATCTGTCACGCCCGGGACATGCTGTTGCCTATCCGAAAATATTTGTGTGCCACAGATTACATTGCAGTAATGGATTTCATTTGAGCTGTGGACCGCGTTCGACTCAATTGCAGATTCATCAGCGCCGAGAACGCATACTGATACTGATAAATCGAATCAGAATCAGACAGAGCGGTGTGCTGAGTTCTGCTGAAAAAGGAAAGGGAGAGCGAAAACGCGGTATGCCTGTGTTGGTGCGATTGATAAATACGAGTGCGTTCTTAAAGCTTATTTTTCAGATGACCAAGCGGGAGACAACAACGAGTAAACAAGAGCAACAGCAACAGCAACAGCGGGCAATAAAGTTGATTGCAGCAGTGGCAAATTGAATATTTGCCACCGCGCGCGCGTGTGTGTGTGTGTGTGTGTGTGCAGCCCTTGTGTTTGTGTTTGTTCGCATTGTTAAATGTCCGCACCAGCAGAGCAGCGAAATGGGATGATATATGCCGAATGGCGAGCAAGCAGAGCGAGTGGCTACCATTGTTAATCCGCAGTCCGCTCTCTGTGCCCCTCGCCGCCGCCCTCGCATGCTCAGCTTGCTACCAAAACTCGACTTCAACCCTTGCTCTCTGGGACTCTCATTTTCAAGCTGTTGCTTTTGCCTCAGCTCAGCGTTCAATTGTTGCCCTGCGATTTAGGGCTCTCTGCCGAGCGCTGCCAATGCTGAGTGCAATCCGTTAATTATTTATTCGGCTAGTGGTAAACAAATACCGCTCACAAGCCACTTAGTACTATCACTCTTGGATTACTCACTCGGCACGGCGCGGCGATAACGTGCCACTGCCACAAACGGAACCGCAACGGCGATAAATACTCGTACTTTCCACAGCGAAAATAACACTGCCTTACAAAACTAGAAATTCTGTGACTGAGGCTCATACACATTTTATTTATACACCACTATACGTTATTTATTTAAGAGTTGAACAGAATATTTATAATTATAATTATAATTTTTATGTAATGATTTTCATTGAATGGTATATGTGGAATGTATGGTACATATGACTTATATTTTTCTGCGGCAAATGACACCTTCCCCTATTAGAATCCGTTACTCCGCCAAGTTGTTTTTAAGAAAACGACATTTAAACTATTCTATAACTTTGAATAGCGCTATCTGTGGTTCTCTGGTCTGAGCTAGGGATATGTCTTATCTTTTCCTACATATTTGCCAAAAGAAATCTGTTTCCGTTTCATACATAAAAAGTTTTATAGTACATAAAAAGTGTATGCAACGAACACGAAATTGGCACTTTCAGATTGGGTTGTGTAGTGTAATTAAGCATTGGATTGACAGCCTCCGATTGTTTACATCAGCGTAGGCGGCACAGCAACAACAACAACAGCATCCTCCGCTCTCTTTTCTCTCCCGTGCTTGCGCTCTGGCGCGGAGGAGAAAAGAAAAGCGCTATTCACTCACTTTCGCTCTCTGGCCGGCTCTCTTTGTTCTGCTGCGCCAATTTGCAAGAAAACTAAGTTGGTTTGCTGTGCAGTTGTGAAAATCGACGAGGAGAGCAGCGGCGCACTCTCCGCAAGGAAGCTGCCAAGCCAACGAACGGCCAAGTGAGAGGTGACAAGTGAAAAGTGGCAAGTGGCAAGTGGAAGTACCAAAATATGACAGTGTCACTAGTACTAATCGCAAGTTAGCTGCTCGTTTGGCTGCAGATTTTCGTCGAAGCTCGCTATTCGTGTTGGTTTTTGTTGTTTTCGCCTCTCTCGACTGCCCGCTTAGGCAGTGTGTGTATACATATACGCGCTTGCACACTGGCAACAGGGCCGGGCGTGTGTATGAGTGTGGTTAATTTTGCCGTGTTGCCGAACATCTGTATCTGTATCTGTGGCAGCCAATAGTTGTGGCAAGGCCCTCGAGCAACTCGCAACTCGCAACACAACCCATAACAACAGCATCCCCAATAAGTGGCAGCAACTGCGCCGCATAGCAGAGCACCAACGGCCGAATTTGTTGTTAATTGAAATAAATTGAAATAAATTCCCCGACTTTGCTGCTCATATTGTTAATAAAGAGTAGCCGGAGCGGCGCAACAGCGAATCAGAATCAGCAGCAGTAAACAAAACTGTGAGCAAAAGTGGTTTTAGTTCCATGCCAGCCGTCAAACGATTTCGTGTGCAAACGACGAAGTACCAGAACATCTCAGGAATTCCCAGCGAATAATGTGAATAATGTTGGTATCACAAGCAATTCGTGGCAGTAACGAAAAAGAGCACAGGCGTTTATTTATAGCCGCCAGTGTGCTTCCATTAGTGAGTGTGTGGCGTGCTGTGCAATTCAAATGAGTTCGAGCTGCAACCGAAGAGAACGAGGCGTCCTACCAATACCAATCCTTGTACAGTATAATTCCCTCCACCATCAGATAGCTCGCAGATCCACAGTAGCAGCTAAAATCCCTCGATCGTCCCGCGGAATCGTATGTAAATACTTTCCCGCCGACTCAGATTCCCAGAACGCCAATGTTTACACTATTCGATTATTGTTTAGCTAACAGCCTCTTATGCGAACTTCAACTTGTATACAAGTGAAATACATACATATTAATTGGCGGTGGGCTGGGGCTTGGGGTATTGTTGGGTCTGCTATATGCATATTTAATTTGTCCCCTCTGTTGTCTCAGACTCGGTGGAACCCCTACTCCCAAAAATCAATTGCATTCTAGTGTGCGTATGCGATTTCAAAAACAAATACCACACCTCCTGCTGGGGTCACTGCACTCAAGGTGCGTGGGTGCGTGACCCATCACTTTTGAACCCCTAAGCACCCACCCACCCAAGAAAGGCGCCGAAAAGTATGCAACCATCATGGCGACCAACCGCATAAGCTATTTTAACGATTTTCTCACTTCATTTCCATACTTACTTTGCAGCGCAGCATCCGGTGACACAGCAGGACATGCGCAGTGGCCTTTTTGGTAGTTGCAATTTGGCCAACAGCGACTGAAAGAGCAGAGAGCGGACGACCATGGCCTTTTCCCGCCACAACATCGAGAAGCGCCGACTCATCGAGCTCGTGCGACTCAACCCTATCCTCTGGGACTGCCGCCTGCCGCACTACAAGCGCTCGGACAAGCGAAAGGCCATCAAATGGAACGAGCTGGGGCGGCTGTTCAACGTCAATGGGGAGCGGGTGCAGCGTACGTTTACTTCGCTCCGCGAGATCTTCCGTCGCGAGCTGAACCACGAGAAGATGCTGGGCACCACGCGCTTTAAGTCCAAGTGGGAATACTACGATGCCATGGCCTTCCTCAAGGAGGTCATTCGGGAGCGCAAGTAAGACGATGTTTGACCTGCCCTAAGCTATTAGCTTATCAGAAGTGCTTGGGGTTCAACTGGTAACCTTCCTCCAATGTCCATTTTGCACATTCCTGTTATTCGACGAAATCGTGTTTGTGTTTTATACTACACGTTGTGATACGAGGGATATTAAGTTTTAGTTAGAGCATACGCGTTAGATTTCTTTTTTTTTCTTTACAAAAGTGAGTAGTTTTTCCGATTTAAATTGCAGAAAATGTTCAAAAAAATTCGGAGAGTGGTGGTCACAAAATATATTATATCTATACATATATACCAAATATGTAATTAATTTGGTCTGTTCCAAAAGAAATCTTTTCAGATTCAACATTTAGATTTTGACTTTACACGATTTTTAAGTTGTTATTGTAATTAGTGAGCATGATTAGTGTAGGGGAGTAAGAAAATAAATGTCTAGAGAGTCTACATGATTTTGTACAGCTCCTTGTATAAATTTACATCGATTTTATGCATATAGTTATGTTATCTGTACAACTTATCGTACTAATTTGAAGTCGTTTTAGGTGGTCCACAACTCTCAGAACCAAATATTTATTAGCTATCTGTAGCATAGAACAGGCAAGGATGAAATGTTTGCCAGTGAACCTGCATTATTTTAAGCTATCTGCTAACACATGTACCTTTTCAGATCCCGCGAGCGCGTCAAACACGGGTCTTTGGATCCCGCCCCAGTGACCACAGGCAGCAACAACAACAACAACAACAACAACAATAGCAGCAACAACAACAGCAGCAGTACGGGCCTCGACGAATACCAGTACTTTGCTCCCAGCGACCCCAACAACCCGAACAATCAGCCCCAGCCGCAGCCCGATCGAAAGAGTAGTCAGCCAGTCACTTCGACCAGTCTAAGTCTCAGTCTTAGTCAGTTGCCAGCTGCCCTGCAGCAGCAGGCTCAGCACCTCCAAGCCCTACAGTTGCAACCAGACGTGACGCTGACCTCCCTGCAGAAACAACCTCTGGCCACTTCGCTCTCCATTACCACACCCGTGCCCTTAGCACAAACCTCGCCCGCCCAGGTGTTGTCCAGCTCGCGCTCCTGCAGCTCTTCGCCCTCCATCTACATAAAGGACGAGCCGTGCTCTCCGGTGGGGGGTTGCCCGGAAGAAGGGATGCCCGGAAATGGGCAGGAGGTGACGCGGAAGAAGCTGGCCACAATTCGTCCGCAGACCAAACAGCAACTTAAAGCGCGTCTGCAGCTGCCCACGCCCCAAAACTCATCCTCGTACGCTACGTCGCCGCCCCATTTGATCATCAATGCCAACAACGAGCTTATTGACACCGACGCCGGCGACCTGGAGGAGGATCTGGACGACTTCGACGAGGACGACGACGTGACCGGACACTGCTCACCAATCGTCGGTCAGTCGGACATGATGGGTGCTGACGGCAGACTCTCGGTCGGCAGCATTTATATCGGAGAGGGTGGCGACTGTGGAAGGGGTCTGGGTAGAGCCCAAGCTCAAGCGCGACACGTGCCCACCTCCAGGGAGCTGCTCTACATGAAATTCGGTGACTTTCTTGCCGCCAGATTGAACACTTTGCATGAGACTGTAGCTAATGAGCTGATGAACAAGATGCTGCTGCTAATCGCAGAGAAGTGAGGAATGCGGGAACCGATGTCGCCTCCAAAATGATAGGTAAGCGCACTCAAAACATACATATTTAATACCCAGTTATCAAACAAAAACAAGTAAGGAGGCCAACCTAGGCAAACTTATGATTTATACCCATTATCCGTCCAATTTCGTTCGAGGTTTAATAATATATTGTCAGAAAACGTGTTAGCCGAATTAGAAAACTTTTAGATCAGAAACAAGAAATGTACAGTTTGTATACCCATTACTCGTAGAGTAAAGGAATATACTAGATTCGTTGAAAAGTATGCAACAGGTAGAGCGAAAAGTTTTCGACCATATAAAGTATATATATTCTTGATCATGAGTCGATCTGGCTGAAAATTGCCACGCCCACACTTTTGGAAAATGCTTTGATATTTTTATTGGTCTATCAATCTATTTAATATCTATGATATTAAATTGGTCTAAATTTCTATCGATTTCCAAAAAAACGGTTTGCCTCGCACACTCTAATACCTACAGTTTTGAAAAATGTGTTTAAATTTGTTCTTTGTTTTTTATTTGTCTTTCCAATTTTAAATCGATATTCTTGCAACGCCCACTCTAGCGCCCTAAAACTGCCACGCACTCATTATATTTTTGTTCTTGTTTTTTTTTGGTATTTTTTTTATTTGTTTTGCCAATTTCTAACGATATTCCAAAAAAATATTTAATTTTCTCGTTTGCACTCCCACTAACTGAGTAACGGGTATCTGGTAGCCGAGAAACTCTACTATTCCTTTTCTTGTATTTTGCACTAGTTGAGTAAACGGTATCTAAAAGTAGAATACATCGACTATTATTTCACTCTTGCTACGCTTACTTTAATATGTTAAGGCTAACAATTTTATAGAAATAAGTGTGTTAACGCATTTAACATTGTTGAGCTTGTTTCCTTCTGGGAAAAGAATGTTATCATCAATTGCAATATGTTGCATGTTGTTTCTTTGGTGCTTGTGCCAGAAATTCTTGAACAACGTGGCTCGCTGCACAAATTTATTGCTCTGACCAATTTATTCAGCAACACACACATACTTAAATTTCGAGTTTTATTTACACAGCAAATACCAGGACCATAAAAAAGTTTTAATTTCCAGACACTGCAGCCCGCTGAAGTGGCCCCCAGACATTCACACGGACAGAATGGCCCAGAACGATGCAAGTTTGGAGATTTGAGAGCATTTCACGCATAAATAAAATGCCTAGCACCATGGCAAATGGCAATTCGCATCCATCAATTTCCCAGAGGGCCGAAAGCGGACTCACTACGCACAATGAGCCAGAAATAAGAATTAGAACAAAAGGGCCCAGCTAGCGTTGCCTTTTGGCTTGAATTCGGACTTGTGTATGGCCACATTTACCCATTGCCGAGTGTCTGTTTACAAAAAAGCACAGTTTTTCTTAGTATGGGCCAGCGAAACACCCTGTGTGTGCATTACAAGCCTTAAATGGTTATCTAAAATTTTGATATGCATTGATTTTGAGTAAGCATCTTGGTAAGCACTGCGTTCTCGTGGTTTTCAGTAGATGAATACCTACCATCACATGGTATGGACTCTTACATTCCACAATGAGAGTAGTTGCAAATTAAGACTGCAGGATCAACGCATCCGCCCTCAACTGTATCTGCATCTGAATCTGTATCTAGTAACCCCAACTGTGTGAATGGTTTAGCACTCGGCACTTCAAAGCGTCGCAGTCATGGGGCCTGTGTGTTTACGATTTTGTAGTATTTATGGTGCGACGCCTTTGGTGTGTGCTTTTTGGTTTGCATTGCGGCTTCAGCTCCCCTCAGCTCCCTTCAGCTCCCTTCTCCGGTCCAGGACTTTACGCGCTGCCACCCTTTCTGCATTCAAAGCCCGTTCGCCCACTCTTATCTACGATTTGGCTAAGTCGCTTTACGACCAAGGGGCTGTGGTCGGGAGCGGCGCAGACATTCGCTGGCACAGTGGGTGGTTTGTCCGACCTCTTAGGGATAGTTACAGCAAGTTTGTTGGCACTTACAACATTATAAATTTGCCTTAAATTATAGTTTTATGGGTACAGCTGAGGGCGCGACGGGCTAAAAAGCTACTTTTGATCCGAAATGAGCATTAAACGGGCTGTAGTGGCAGCATCGCCACCAGCGGCTGATGCTTCCAGTTTTGAAGTATTTTTCGGGGATCGATAAATTTAACACAACTGACATCTCTATCACAATGTGTACTGCCCCCACGTGCAACTCATCCCTGCCGTTCCACGCACTGTTATCTCAGCCCTGCGAGTTTCGCAGTAAATACCCATAACATTTCCTTGTCTAGATACCAAGGAGCGACTCCTAAATGGATTTTTGTCTGCACCCCGGCTGGCAGGCTGAGTCCTGGCATTCAAGTGCCAGCCTGCCAAATTTCCCAAACACTCTTCGCACTTCCACAATCCCCTTTGAATTTCCGCTCAAAAATCAATTCTCTTTTGGTTACAATGTCTGAGGAAGCTGATGTACGAATTCCATGCCTCCTCCAGATCCTCAGCTCCTCCAGCTCCTTCACTTCCACTAATCCCTTTCCATCCTGCGGTGTATGGCCCAGAGTTGCGACCTAGGCGACCTAGTCAATGTGGCAAGTTTAAATAGCAGCGTTAAAAAGTATTGCATACCCTGCGGCTCGCGTTCCCCTTTACACATAAAATGCATATGCAAGTTAATGTTTACAATAGTCGTAAAAGTTTAATGGATTTTCCAGCCACTGCGCGGTGCAAGGGTGTAAACGGCGGCTTAGGATCGTAACTTTCGAAATCAGTTTTTTTCGAAGGGGCGTACCCGCTGTGTGAAGTGATGGGCGTAAAAGCGTGTGTGTGTGTGTGTGTGTGTGTGTGTGTGGAGGCTGGGGGCTTTTATCGAAATGCTACGCCCGTCAACGCGGAGCCCAACTTTTGCCACTGTTTGTATAATCAAAATGCATTTATTTGATTAATATGCAGCCATGGTAGTCCCGGCTTTCAGCTTTCCCGAAACATAAAGAGTAACATTTGTTGGTTTAATTTTAGGGATTTGCCTTGTTTTCCTATTGACTTTAACACTTCTCGCCTCATGTTCCCATGCTCGTGTCGGGTATACAATGATTTTGGTGTACTACTATTTTGTGGCTGGCAACGGATAAACACTGAGGTGAGCTCGCCACTGCTGGGCTTTTCGAGATACACGTTCCCAATGAAGTGGCAAAACTAATTCATTAGGTTAGAACAGCAAACTGCAATTGACAAATTATGGAATCCGAAACCGAACTAAGCATGGCCAGATTTTCACATACATGTATAATATACAGATACTCGTACATTGTATAATTTGCAAGCGCATCAAACGAGTTTCTGCAGTGATTGAATGCATTTCATTCCGGTCGAGTCCATCCATCATCCATCATCTAATGAAATGCATACGCCAATACATAACATGAATAACTTGAATTGTACGGCCATGCCCAAATTGAAAAGGCGACAAAAACGGGGCAGTCCAGGCCAAACCACAGAGCCAATAACAATAGCATTAGCAATTGCCGCCGAAACTGCAGTTGCCAGATGCAGTCATCAGGAGCATATGTGCAAGTAGAGAAGCAAGTTCGATATCTGGCAACAGAAGCTGCGGCGTCCAGGAAGTGACCTGAATGGTGATCGAATGCCAGATACCCCATATTTACTCGCACGCCCATGCACATCCAATATTTCACTCATTGTTCTGCCAGTCCCATCATCGAATTTACGTACATAATTTATTGGCTGGCAACTTCCTCCGTTCGTCAGACGCCCGTCCCGGTCCGGAACACCCCGTTGGTCCTGGGAAATTGGTAAATCCAACTACTCAGTGTGCAACAATGCTGGTACGTAGGGAGCGTGGCCAGAAGGAGGCCGAGCCGATGACAATGCCTGCGCCAGAGCACATGTCGATGGCTATAACTATGAGCAGTATCAATATTGACAGCCATTAATATGGCATTTTATGCAATAAGCTGAGACATTGATAGAAGGCTGCAAGTGGGAGGCCGGGGGCAGTCTGGGGTCTGGGACTTGCTCCGTCTCCTGCCAGTGCTGTATTTTTAATGAGCACCAGTGCAGGAGGCGCCTTGCTCCAGCTTCCGCTGCTGCCTGGTGCTCGGTGCCTGCTGGCTGATGACTGCGAAGTGCTTTCGTCTGCGATTGGAAATTTGCTAGCCAGCAGGAGAGAGCAGTTAATTTGAGAGGTAGCGGAAGACCAAGCGGAAACGTCAAGTCACTCACGACCCACGACCCACGACCCACGACCCATGACTCGTCTTGGCTGCCGATGTCCCCAGGCTCCTTGGTATTAATGGCCGCAGGACATGTCAAAGGAACAGGAACTGAGTCGGGCTGCGACTCTAGCTCGACGTGCACTGACTGCAATCATAAAACTCTGCAGTGGCCCTCTGCGTGTCACATCTCCAGCTAGTTATTGTCCGGCCCGCGCCCACCCTTATCGCATTAGATTCCCCAGGACTATCTTGCATATCAATCGGGCATAAAATCGACGCCAGCTGGCGCCAGATTGCACAAAGGGCGCAGCCAAAATAATCGCTGGGATTTTATCGCAGGTTTACTGTTCGCATTTGCCTAGCCAGGCGGCAAGGTAATACTTTAAATTAATAATTTTGATTGCCTCATGGACTTGCAGCGAAGTTTCCCAGCCTCTGTTGCTTAAGTTTTTCTCAAAATATTATCATTAGGGCTGAAACTTGTCTCTTTGACGCTGCTTTGACAATCAGGGGGCTGCGCAGGTGTTTCTGCTGCAAAGTTTTGAGTGCTAATTAGCTGATAAATAAGGCAAAAGGTTGAAACATAGTTTTAGGTCCAAGAACTGAACGGCAATGTGCCTATCAGCCGACTTTAACTAGGCCTACAATCGCTAATTAAGCCAAACAGTTTAGGTGCTTTATCGCTGCACTTTTTCTCAACCCATGATTGACGGATTTTGAATTGTGTCGAATCGAAAAAGGCAAGAGAAGAGAAAATGGAAGAAAATGCAAAAGCAAATATTTGATCAAATGCCTATAACTCTGGGAAAGCTTTATTGATTTTATTTGTCTGGGTGGCCAGCGAGTAATGAATAATTTTCCAAAAATGAAAAACAATTTTTCTTTTAATAATTTTTTTTTTTTTAATGGTGAAATTTTGACTGTTGAACTTAGCAAAAGTCTGCTATCTTTACATATATGTACTAGTATATAAATATTACGATGTTGATAAATAGTTCCTAGTAACTCTGTCTTCAGCTGTATGAAAATACAGATAATACCTACATCTTTAGATAGATTGAAATGAATTTACTGAAATCCTTGCAGGCAGTACTTTCTTTTTACTATTACCATGGTACCTTTTCAGTAATCTTCACTGTACAGCGTCTGAAATGTGAGCGACGGGAATCCCTACAGACATTGACTTGGAAGATTGCTTATTCGGAGTTACGCAATTATTTACCACTAAATGGTGAGACCAGCGAGGGGAAATAGACTAATTACATTAGCTGCCAGAACAATTTGTCTCCGCACTCAATCAAAATAATGTTCAACAATAATGCAGACTTCTGCTGTTTAGCTCCTCAGCTCGAAAGCTCGGCAATCTGGCCCACAAATCACCACAAAACATGTTGACAGCACACGGAGCAGACTATGCCTCCAGGTTTGCACCGACTCTTAAGAATGATGTGGGAGGGTCCTGGTTCAGTGCCTATGCATTTCCCTAATGAAATGCAAAGAAAAGCAAACGAGCTTCGGTCCAGCAATATTTCAGCCTGTTCCGAGGGCTCGAGGTATCCGTTGTGCGATAGGCAATGCAAATTTGAGTAGAGCTCTTGTCGGAACTACTTGTTTTTGCGGTAGTGAGTGGTAATTAAATATTAGTTTTCTCCTGCAGCTATTTGCTTTGATTAATGGCTAACAGAAAAGAATGGGGCAGCTGGTTTTGAATACTCAGAAACTGCGCTTTCATTTGTTTTGAACTGACGGCTGATGGGCTCGCAAACCAAATCAGTATCAGTATCTTCAGCTAAACAAATCTAAATTGGATATACCTTTAGGATTATTCGGTTCAACTAAGGGACAGACTAGAAAAGCTTACCGCGAAGGAGATATTTGAGGTGTCCCGTGATCCTGGGTCACCGCGCCGCCGACGCCTCAAATCGGTGGCATTGTTACTTTCCCACGCTGGGTGCAACCGCATATTCACTTTGCATATTGACACGTCTCCTGGTCTGCATGAGTAATTTATTATTTTGCAGGCCAAGTCCCAGGGCGTCAGTCCGGAAGCCCAGGCTGGAAGCCTTGCGTGCCAACGGTCAGTGGGACACATTACCACATCATTACGAGACCGCAGGGAAGAACTTGGGCTCCAAAAGGGCCAGCAGCTGCAGTTCCGGGCAAGGAGATAGCGGACAAAAAGCTTCTATCGAATTACGAATGCATAAACACAGGGAGCGACAAAATGGCAGCATAGCAGTGGATACAGGGGTCGGCTAAAGGATTTCAGATGCACCACAGCGTCATTAAGTCTGGTTGTGATAGCCAAGGCGTCAACTTAATGTCCAGCCAGGGAATAACGCTGTCATCCGTCGCCGGCCTCGCAAAGGTCCCCAAAATTATCAAAAAATATCCAAATGGGGGAGGTTGGTGGCCAAAATGGATTGCGCCTTTGCGGTTGTGTTAAGTTGATTTCCCGCACGTCTGCCTCAGGCCCTGACCTCATGCCCTTGCTCTGCATTTTCACATAACTCTGCCCGGGGGCTTCCAAGATGTCCAACACCAATTATGCGTTCGGCTCCACTGCAGCCCCGCTCTGCTCCTGCCTACGTTGTATTCATAAACAGACGCTCCCTGCTGTCAATGCTGTAGTCATCCCACCCATTCCATCCATTCCACCCATTGCACTCATCATCCTCGTCATCCTCATCACCCCCATTGTCTGATGGTGATCATCATTTTCAGCCTCCTGGCAGGGGGCGTGTGCCACGCCCTTCTGCCGACCCAAACACCACCCAAATACCCCTCCCCTTGAGGTGTGATGTAAATTATACGCTTTTGCGTTTAGCCTCCAACCTCGAAGTCTGGTCCAGCCCCAGTGGATCCCATTCTCCTGGTCTGCAGTTTGATGTTTTGCGGTTGTGTTGACATAGCCATCGCTTCAGAAATGAGCAGCCCGGTGAAGTGGCCTCCCAGGTGCTCAGCTTTATTATTTAAAGTACGCTTTGAGCCTGGAGCCTGTCCATTATGCCTCTGACATGTTATGGTCCTGCGTTTTGCGGTTTCCAGCCAATTAATGAGAATTTCGCACTGCGAGCATCGAAAGATGGACATTGTTGGGAAAGACAAATGGCAAATGGCCTTTCATGCTCGACAACGGCCTGCAAAGGATGGCCCTCGGGCTGGTTGTACTGGGAAAAATTCCCAGTTAGGTTCTTCTTAATATTAAGCCTGTATTTACTTTAAATACCTAAGGCCATTATAGCCAATAGTCAAGGCACAGTGAATGCAAGGCGAGACTGAAATAGGTTTCTCACTCGGAGCAAACTTACCCTAGACCTACCAGACCTTAACTTTTCATTAGCTGCAATTTCTATATCCTCAAAGAGCTGGAACTCGATAGTTTCACACCGCAAAGTGGTTGTTGCTGCTGCCGGTGGGGAGCCACTTTGTCAATTGTTATGTTATTGGTTTCGACATTTTGCAAATAGCTTATTTAGCAATGCGTAAAATCCACACGCTCTCTTGCCAGTTCATCCTGCCCCGACCATCCTGCGGGTCTCTTTTTGCCGAGACCACACACACGTCAAGGAGCAGGATACTCTGTATTCCGTACTCCTTTGCCGCCGCCTCCCTGGCTCCGCTGGTCCATAGACATTTTTTGCCTTGCTGCGTTGTTGTAAACTCCAAGTTAACAACGTGTCAAGCGGTTAGGACCCCCCTCCTCGCACTACTTCATCAGAAGTTGGCCCTATCTCCGCCGGGTGGAATGGGTGGGGTCAAAAGGATTCTGAAGCCGAAGCAGGTGCGTTCCAATGTCTCCAATTCGCTACCCCAATAGTAGGAAGAGCCTCAATTCAATGCGATTTCGCCATTTGCACCTACCCCGAATCTTCCCATTTCCCCTGCTCATTTTTTTCCTGCTCTCATCTGTCCACAGAATAATATTTGCTTTTCATTCTGTGTCATTTCCTCCTAGTCCTCGTTTTTATAAGGCGCCTAATTGCCTGCTGCACTCCGCAGCCTCTTTGACCCTCTGTCAAACTGGAGCTATTCGAGCGTGGTCATAAACTTTTACTGCTAATATTTTCGGAGGCTTTTTAATTAGGCGAATGGTCGTAAAAATTGATTTATAGCCCATGATGGGAATCGTTAATTGGGGGCTTTCCGATGGGTAAAGGGCTCTAACGCGGAGTAACTTTGCGGAGTAGCCATTCCACTCATTTCTGAACTACCTTAACAATGTCCGGCTTAATGTATTACTTTTTTGTCTCGTTGCAGCTCCCATCACCAAGGCGACTTCGTGCTAGAAGCGCATTAGGTAGCGCAAATCAAGTCTGTACTATGTGCCATACGAGTATAAGCAACTTTAAAGCGTATAATAGTCTATTATTAAAATAAATGGAATAGTCTGTAAATCAAAACGGTTCAAAAAATGCGACAAATAAAACTACACAACTCCGAGCTCAAGGCTTACATTTACAAATTTAATATCATTCCTCCCGTTCTGCGTTCCCAGCCTGAGTAGGCTGGCAGTCCGCCAGCTTTTATGGTTTTAAGTGAGTGGAAGGTGGAAGGTGGAAGGTCGGCAAAGTTCGACTCGCCCGGCCACTAAACGGTTGAACTTTATGCAAATTAAGCAGCTCCCCAGAGTCTTCAACCAAAAAGCGATTAAACGTCATTAGCATTATAGTACCATTCTACTTTCGCGCTTTAACCGGCTTTCCCTGGAACACGAACACACCTTTCTGGCTCACAGGACTCCTGACCAGCTCAATCTGTCTGTCTGTCTGTCCGTCGGTCTGAAGTGTCTGGATGGATGGGCAGCTATTCATCTTGATGGCAAAAACAAAAACAACATGCCGAAACGATTGCACTTCCGTTTTAATTGTAATTAAAGCGATTATTACAGCGGTGTACTGCCGTTTTTGCTTTTTTGCGTTTGAGCTCGGCTTCCAATTTCCAATTTTCCTTCTTAGCTTCTTGGGACCGGGGGACCGTCAGCTTAGTTTCAATTTTAAAATCCCGTCAACTTTTTCTATTTGCCAGCACGAGTTTGGCTATCGGGCCTAAGGGCTTTTGGTGTAACTGGGCCGAGCTCGAAACTATTACGTGTTGCAGAAAAGTCTTTCTCACTTGTTTTGCGGATGTACCTTGGAGAAAAGGTCGTTCTGTGGCTGATGAGCATCTTGGCCGAAATGGCCGACATATCTTCCATCGGACTCGCATTGATTCGGCATCCGCTCCAACCCGGAACGCAGAGATGTTACGTGAGACCTCTAATTTGATATCTGCGAATGCCAGGAGAAGGCAACTTCATTTCGCGCAGAAGTCGGCATACTTAATACGGCGTTTTCAGTGCGCACTTAAGGCTTCCACTTCCATCCATTTGGAAATCCGGACTGCAGGATTCCAGCAACTTTATCCAAACTCAAAAGCCCCTGGTTGGTCTAATTTGTATAACGATATTTCCCAACAGAGTTAAGTAGCAAAACTCACTTCGCATAATTACGGAATGGTGTCGGGGTGGGAAGGGCTGCTGAAAAAGTGTAATTAGTGGTGTAAAATTAGTGTTATCCTGAAGAGAAGACGAAAAGCGGCACGAGCAGATCGGAGTGCAGAGCAACTCGTAAGTGAAATGAAACACACACCCTGCTAGTTTTTCACTGTGAGCTCGTATCTGTTGATGTGTGAATGCCACTCGCGGATGCCTCGCCACCTGCAAAAAATACCTCATCAGTACCACAGCAGGAGCGGCCCCATGTTCAAACTTGCCACCCAAAGCAAAGGTCGATGCCTCGCTGCAGTGGCGTGGTAGAGGGGGCTCGTTTGAGCCTTTGGAACAAAAAATAAATAAAGGGCTTTTACTATTTTACTAATTTATTTCGTAGTAATCCACTGGAAATGGGCGAGCCAGCCCCCTTCGACTGCCGCAGGCTTTGGCAATGCCATACCGCTTACCGCTAGCTGCAATAGGTTTTTGGGTCAACAGCGTCGTCTACGTCTACACTCGGGTTGCGTTCGCGTAGATGTGGCTTTTTATGAACTGTTAAAATTCCAATTAGTGCTGATTGTTCGGATTTACCGGAAAGCGAACGTTGCGTGTGAGCTTTGCCAGTCCTTAAGGGGCCGTGCTTTAATATCCTTGCACCCCCTATTGGCTCCCAAGGGTCAAATCAGAGGAAAGGACGCGCAGCGGCCTGGCTCGCGAGTCAAGTATTATTTCAGTCGATAATTGGTGCACTTCACTGCATCCGGTGAAAACTGCAATATTGTTCCAGCCGGACCAACAAATCCAGAAAACAATATTTCTGCGAGTTAAATTGTAATTTAGGAAAAACGAGCATTATATTTGGCTCTGCAGAATTTAAAGAGTAACGAGTGCGAGGAAACTGGCTTGAAAGCAAGAAGCCTTCTTTATAAAGTCCCCTCTATTAAACTAAACTTAAGTTATCCAGTAATTGTAAGATCTGCTGGCCTCATTTGCTTTTAATTATCATACCATTTCAAAATCAATATTTTCTAAGCACAAATGAATTTTAAAACAAATGTTTGTTTGGACAAATGCGTTGTTAATGGCCTTAAAGGATTGGTTATTAAAAATTATTAAACGTGAAACATTATTAAACTATTAAACAAGAGAGTTACGAGTTCCCCAAATTTCAGATACTTTCAGCTAGTGGAAGTGCAAACAAAAAATGTTAACATGCACAAATGTCTAAGCACAAATGAATTTTAAAATAAATAAATTAACGGGTAACGGGTATAATAAACCATTATGGATTGGCATTTCCCTTTTTGGGGTATCCGCAAGTGCCGTACTCGATTTTTGCATCCCCTTCCGGTTTTGGCTTGGCTTGTTATATTATTTCTGTTGTTGCATGTGTCAACGCCCATGTCCAATGCATAAGACTTGTCTGGGGGAACCTTTTGGCGGCACTGGCATTTTTACGACCCCAGCGTGCACATACACATGAGCCCAGTCCGGGAATGGCTGCTCGACCATTCCTCGTTCACCCGAACCCGGCATCCTGCCACCGCGCATCTCGATATCCTCTCGACGTGAGATATCGGATGGCTCCCGATGCAAGCGTGCCTGTGGCTCCTCCAGCGCTTCGCCCGACATATGAATGCCTGTTAAATATTTATGAGTATTGAAATGTTGCCTCGATGCATATTATAACAAATGAAACGTCAATTTCATGCGAAAAATGCAAACAGAACTGACATCCCCAGGATGGCTGATGTAGGCCTGCCCCACCAGCCGGAAAAGGAGCTGGAGCTGGAGCTGAAGCTGGAGCTGGGCTTCCGGGCAGCTCTTTGCGAACCCGAATGCATTCAGTGCCTAGGCGAAATAAGCTGCAGTTGGGGCATTGGACCTCGCCTGGCACGTGACAGGCCAACGACCGAAGGGCAAGAGGGTGTCCATCTCGTTCGGATCCTGCGACTCCTCATTGCGGCGTCCTTCGGTTTCTGCACAATTTCATTATGGAATTTCATGCACGGCCCTGAGGACTGCAGCACATTCAATTTGGGAGCTCAAGTGTAGTTCGTCCACATAAAACACAAAATTCATGGGCCTTTGGAGTAGATAATGGGATAGGATGGACATTGGCCCACGACGAGCGCCATTCCTTACTGCGAGTACTGCTGAAATAATATTATTTTTCTGCAGATTCAGCCTCAATCAGGCGAAAGCCATTAGAAAAAAGTACCAAGGAATTCAGTTCGGCAGAGCTGAAACGAAATCGGTTGCAAAGGCAAAGTACAGACCACGCCCAAAAGCAGTCGGCTAATTTGCGAGGGAGCAATAAAAATTGTTTATTGAAACGAAAAAAGTGCGCGCCAGAAAAAACTCGCAATTCACTCCCCGCATTCTCCTGCACACCCCTATATATTTGTGCAGCTGGAGCAGTCTAAATTTAATTAAAAATGCGAGCACATCTATCCGCCTGCCCTTCACCAGCTGCGGAGTAGCCGGGCACAGTGCACTTCAACTGTCAAGGCAGTGCAGGCGCAATAATTTCCATGTTAGATGCCAAAAGCGCGCAAAATGTTTTCCAACTATCAGACAATAGGCTCGGGACAATGGGGCAGCTGGGGTGGCGGAATTTGCTCAAAGGACAAAGGGCTGTGCTCCCGCTGCTAGGTGTTGTCTCCCGTGCTAGAGGGGCGAAATCAACAGTTTATAAATAATCATTTTCCTCGCCGTCGCAAGGAAAGGAGCCAGCACACGGAGCCCACTCCGCCGCACTAGCTTGGGGGGCTGGAAGGGGCACCAAGGCCACATTTTCCTCGCCCCAAAAATAACAATAAGCAGAGCACAACAGCAACCAAGTGAGCAAAGGAGGAAGCAGGGGAGCTGCTTGAGAAATGCCACCGGCAGTTGATGAAGTGCCGACAGCCAGCCGTTGCCAGGCAATGAAGTTGGCGCGTCCTCCCACAACTTGCAACTCACCGCCCACTGCCCACCGCCCACCGCCCACCGCCCAGCAACCAGTTGGCTGCCTCTTTAAGGAGGGTCACACCTGTCTCCTTGGGATCTCTGCCGTTTGTCTGCCCACTTTTCATTGTTTTAATTGTTTGCCAGCCTTGCGCCGTCCCCTCGGCGCCTGTTACTCGGGAAATTTACGACACAAATTCTACCTTTGTTCCTGTTTTTGTTTAGCTTCCTAGGTCCTGGCTCGTCAATCTCAGGGGCAGTTAATTCAATTAGGCATATTTATTAGGCGTTTGTGCTACGATCTGATTCCGCCCCGTTATTAATGGCAGTCCATTAAGCTGAGGAATCATCAGCTGGTGTGGGCCTTTTTAGTTGAGTCGTACACATGTACATTACCCATAAATATGCTCATCAGTAAGTACGCAGCACAGTAATCCGTGCCTAACGAGGACGAGGCCTGCAAAACCCATCGCAGCACGGAGGGCAGGTGAAAGAGTCGCGCATTGTTTGCAGCCGCAGCACGGCAAAGGCTGTGTGCCACTGCCACTGCCATGGACCAGTTATTGTCAACAGGATGCGGCAAATATGCCACTTTTACGGCACGCTTCCGTATCCGGTTCCCGCCAGCGGAGGTCGCTCCTTGCTAGCAGCGCGGCACCCATTGTGATTCGGGTGGGTGCAGGGGCAGGCAGGAGGCAGGAGGCAGGAGGCAGGAGGACACATGCAGGAGGCAGCAGGGCGGATATAGTTGGTAAATTACGATGGCAGCCTGTGCAAGTGCAAGTGCTCCATGCAAAATCGCAAATCGCAAAGCGCAAAAACGCAAGTGCCGTCGCTCAGGCTGCACCCGGGCCACTTGGGCCAACCAGCCAAGGTGGAAAATGAACTGCGAGCGAGCGAAGGCAGTTGCCAAGGCAGCGGGAATGCCCTTTGCAGCGCGATTCGCTGCCAATTTCCAGCTCGCAGCCCGCCTGGTCTGAGTTCGATAAGTTTCGAGATTTGGCTTGGAAATCTCAAGG